GGTGAGGCCTTACGGTAGGGGGGTATAGGGGGGTGGGGTCGAGGTAGGGGCAGGTGGTATGGGGTAAAGGGGTAGGGTCGGGGTGGGAAAGGCCAGGGGTAAGGGGGTGCGGTCAAGGTAGGGGCAAGTGATAGGGGTTAAAGGGGTGGGGGGGAGGGGGTACAAGTGGGGCGGGGGCGGGGTATGGTCGAGTGGTAGGGTACCCGTGGGAGTAGATGGGTTAGTCGGGGCGGGGTGGGGTCGAGGTAGGGGCAGGTGGTAAAGGGGTAGGGTAAGTGGGTGGGGGTGGGGTAAAGGTAATGGTCGGGCATAGGACAGGGTAAGGTTGATGGTAGGTGGGTGAGGGTGGGGTAAGGTATGGTGGGTAGGGGGTGGGAAAAGGGGTAGCGGATGGAGGGGTAACAATAAGGATTAGGGCAAGGAATAAGGGTAAATTCGGAAACTGAAAAAGTTTAAAGTGCCGTGTAATTAAAACATGTAGGTGGTATGCTTAGTAAGCGGCACTTTAAGTATTTCTTTCGATTAGTAAGCAGCTTAGTTTGTACCGTAAAAAAAAGCAGTTTAGTTTGCGTGTTTACTTCACCTGTTTTACTAACCTAACTATGACTTTAACAGTGAAATAAACACCTCCCCAGTGTTTAACCTGTGACACCGCACCCGGATGTACTTGAAGTTGAATTTCAGTATGTATTTGAATTTTTCTAGCGAATGATTTCGTGTAAAAGAATGATGTATTTAATTAATGTGTGATTAATTAAATTATTTATCGGGTCCATAAGAATGGGAATGGGCTAAATAAAGTGCCAACCAATGTTGACAAAAATATTTGGACAAACCCGAGTATTATTTTGGCCCAACCTGCCAAAAGTTAGACGGAATAATTGGGAAGAACTTCCTACACCCACTTGGAGTATTCTACGAACTAATTTGACTCAAATAATAAGGGAGGGAGGACCATGCATGGTGCTTGTGCGTACATGAAGGGAGAGGAAGTCTCCATGAGACAAAAACTACACCCTCATGACCCCATCACCAAATTATTTTGGTTGATTGACTAGGTGATACCTCTCCCCTATCCTCTTGCATTATTCGGACAAACCAAAGGAGGAAGGAGCTCCAGGAGACTCTCTCACATAGTCCATAGCTTGAAGGTAGCAAGAAGAGAGGAAGATCCAAGAAAAAATAGCTAGAAGAAGAGGTAAGAACACAACTCTTATCTTTTAACTAGTTTTGTCTTGTATGATTTTTAAGAAATCATATGGCGGGTTAAACATGAAGTTCTACACGTTATAAAGTGGTGGTATTTAACTTAGAAGAGTCGTGGAATCGATAGGAGTTGAAACCGCCGGAAACCGCCACTTAAAGGGAGCTGTTCGTAGCTGCAGACCACGAAAGCCGCCCACCTTTTGCAAAAGCCGCCCCGCTTTCGTCTGCTGTCCAGATTTTCCGCTTCTAATCGGTTTAGAACGGGGATTGATCGAAGGGCTTGGCAAAGACAACTATTTCAGCACTTCATAAGGCGAGGATGGCTGACTATATTGCTTATAATCCTTGAGTTAATTTCACAAGATTACCTAAGGTAATTAAATGTGATTTTCATGGATCATTAATGATTAATAATGCCTAAATGAAAATATTATTGTTTATGAATAGAAGATGCATAATATACAAATTTATGAGTAAATGGTGTATGGTTATGCATTATAAATATGATGGTATGATGATTGTATAAACCATGAATTTTTGTGATGAAATATACTTTTACTTCATGTATAGAAATCATGAATGGATAAAAGTGATATTTTTGATATTGAGATTAAATTATATTTGGATTGGAAAATCAATTGAAATAAACCTTATGACTATGGATTAGGAACTTGGTTGTTCTAAGATTATCTGACTAGTATTGAATTACTTGTCGGAAATGTTAGTTAGAAAAGTAATAGAACAAATCCTAAGGGCTTGGATTGCGAAAGATGTACCTTAAGTAGTCTTATGAGATGCTTTAATGTAGAAATGTGTAAACGTTAAGTTATGTTAGGAGTAGGCCTCAAAGGCTACTCATAATAGGGAAACTCTAGGCATAGAACTTGCCTAGTAAATTAGTATCGTGACCAGAGGAAGCCTCTATCACGATAAAGAATGACTAGAGGAAGCCTCTAGCATTAATGTAGAACGACTAGAGTAAGCCTCTAGCGTAATGTAGGATGACTAGAGAAAGCCTCTAGCATAACGAAATGTGACTAGAGGAAGCCTTTAGCACAACGTATGTAAGGTGATTAGAGGAAGCCTCTAACACCAAGTGGAGTGACTAGAGTAAGCCTCTAGCACGACAAAACGTGACTAGAGGAAGCCTCTAGCATGATGAACTAATATGGATGGGCGTGGCTTGAAGTCACGGGGAAAGGGTTGAACGTTTTCAAAGTAAACATGGGTCTTCGGGCCGACTACTTGACTTTATATATAAAGTAAGTATATTTTCAAATAGGGTAACCAAGGGTTATGACCTATAATATAATATCACTCTATTTGAGGGTCTTGGAAATTGAAACATTGATTATACTTAGTATAGTTGTCATTTTACTTGTTAAATGCTTCCAAGTACTGACCTTCCCTTCACGGGGGAGGCCACCTCACAGTTTCAGGTAGGGGATAAAGCTTGCTATCAACGCCCGTTGCTTCGGGAAGCTCAAGGAGAGAAGACGTGGTTCGTGCTTCCTCCGTTTCTATCTTAAAAATATTTAAATTAATGCTCATGGATATTATTATCTGAATAATCATTTGGGGGCTTGAATGCCCATGTTTGCCACGTGTGGCTTGAACACTTGTATTGATGTTTCCGCTGCTTAATTGAATATTTTACATTATGATTGTTTATGAATGTACTATTGTGAATGGTATTCAAGACGCCTAGTATAATATGGATGAGTTGGACTGCGGTTGACAATTCATACTGTACGGTGGGTTGTTGACGTGTCCGGTAGGTCCGGCCGTCCGGGGCGTGACATAACCACTAGTCAGAAGTAGATGAGGGTAGCGGCCACTATTCTAACACTTCATACACAAATGTATTAGACTAGTCATGATCTTGTTTACATTGTTTTTTTTTTAAATAAAATGCATTGTGTGTGTACTCCGTATATAATTTAGGTTAAAAAAACTAGGTTCAAATGAAAAAATGATTTTACAAGATAAATGAGAATGAATCTGGACCGTTAGATTGTATTCTATGAAATTTAATGTGCATTAAGCGAAACTAAAATTTGCATAATGTGAAATTGAAATGTGCAGTGCAAGAGTACCACACAATGACATTATGTGAAGTTGAATTATGCATTAGGTGAAACTTAAATGTGCATTATGTGAACCTGAAATATGCAGAATAAAAGCTACAGTGCGATGACATTTTGGTCCTTTTTATTCTGCACATATCAATTTCACGTTATGCACATTTGAATTTTACCTTTTGTTCTGCACATTCAGTTTCACCAAATGCACATTTCAGCACATATTATCTCTAAATATGAGTAAAAGTAAAATTTTAAAATATGAGCACCATTTTCTCTCAAAATAAAAGTAAGTATATATATATATATTTGAAAATAAATTATTTACTACTGTAAAACTTATTTACAAATTAAATGTGTGATTGAATGTTATGGGAACAAAACATCATGATTATTTAAACATAAAAATTGAAAATAAATTATTAATTACGGAGTACTATAATCACTATATTTAAATGTGATATTTTTATCAACATTTTATTTAATCATAATTATTTTAAGAACAATTATACTCAAGAATAGGGATGACAATGGGGCGGGTTTGGGGTATACTCCCCCATCCCCCGCCCCATGTTTAAAAAGTTCCCTCCATCCCCACCCCACCCCCCGTTACTTCCATCCCCGCCCCATCCCCGCCGCACCCCGATGTCCCCCACGTGTGCCCGTGGGTGCCCCCATTTACATTTAATTTATCGTATTTGTATATATTATTAATCCATTATATATAGGGTGCGGTTTCAAGGAGAACGATACTTAACGTGAGAACGTGAGAACAGTCACATTTAATGCAATATGATACACAATAGAGCCCATCTAGTACACATTTGGACTTTTTGCTCAATACAAGCTAATATAAATAATCACGGTGTGACGATGGTACTGTTGTAAATATTATGCTTAATACGAAAAAATGCATCGTGCGAGCCTCATTGTGCATCACATTGGAGTAAATGTGGTGTTCTCCCGTTATCAAGTTAAGCATCGGTTGCATTTGATCTTAAATCTACACACACATGCAAACTCAAGTATGGTGTTTGTTAAAAGTTAATACGTAGTATATATCGCCAATTTGAATAATTCTTCAATTTGAATAAGTTCTGTAAATTGAAGACTGTAAAAGTAAAAATATAAGTAACATATTATCATCATGTACGTCGTTCCAAAATTCTCAACAATTATAATACAATTAATTACATACTACATATAAATGTGTGTGTATATTTATTTACTCACTTTCTCACTCTTAGAACCCATATAACATTTATGATAAATATTTTTAATCAATACTTATTATTCTAATATAATATGGAGTATGTATTAATTCATTAACCATAACACTACAACGCGCGTATCCAATTATGTATGTCTATATGTATATGTATTTGTATATTTATATGTATATGTGTTTGTTACATATTACACACATAATATAATTTAATTTAATATGTTTGTACATTATTTATATGTGTGTGTGTATTAGAATATATATATTTATAACGGGCGGGATGGGGCGGGGACGAGGCGGGTGTAGCAATTCACGTCCCCCGCCCCATATTTTAACGAGGTAAAAATATTACACTCATTCCCGCCCCGCCCCAAGCCCCATCCCATCCTTCTCCGGTAGGGCGGGTTCCCCACGGGTCCCCGCCCCCATTGCCATCCTTACTCAAGAACCCGTATTGTTAGATTATTTATTGATTTTCAACAGTGTTGGGCTTGTTTCCAAATTAAACATTGTTAGATTTATATTGGAGCCCAAACATTTCTCCATTTCTATGATTTATTTCCGCAAAGGGAGTACGCTTTGAAACTTTCACCTGCGTCACTCCTAATCGGATCTCCGTTCTTCCGCATCAAGACAGGAGCCTTCGGCGAAGCCTTCCGCATCTCCGTTCTCCAGATCGGATCTCCGTCCGCTGACAGCCTTCTGCTGTTCTCCACTTCGTCTGACTACTCTCGCTTTCTCTCATTACTTTGCGCATATTGTTGGGTCATACACATCCTCAGGTTTGTAATTTATTGGTAGTTGTCTTCGCTTTACAGCCTGATACATTTCAAGCTTGGGTTTAACACTCCCTTTTTATGCTTTCCCTTGTTGCTTTTGCTTGTCTAAAGAGAAGAATTAAAGGGGAAGCCCTTCTGCTTATGCCGAATTTTAGAAGGCCTTTTTATCCATTTCTTTATGCTGAAGGAGTATTGGAATGACTATTTAGCCAAAACCCGTAAATATAAAAAATGTATAAATTATTGGGTTAATATGAGCATATGTGGTTATTCCTGGTTATTCTATGAAATGTTTTGTTTCCCAGTCGCGATTTATGCTTTTTTTTTGCTGATTGAATCTCCAAACTATGAAATATTGTCAAACTATAATTAAGTCTTGCTTTATTTATGAATATACTCTCCATTTTCTAGATCCTGGCAAAAAAGTTTAGATCTGATCTTTTAGCAGGACTACCTTTTCGAAGATGTTTATGAAACAGTACAGATATTCTTTTGATGTTTGAGATAGTCATCTGTTTTTTCTAAAATTCCCAGGAGTAAAATATAACAAACCTTTTCAAATAGGATTATCATTGTTTTCTTCTCAAAATAGGACCCATGCATATTTAGGTAAGTTTTTTTAATTCTTCTAATAAGACTAAATGATTTCTATTTAGGGAAGAAAACATATTTAGTCCTATTTTAGAAGTTTACCTATGTTTTACTTCTATTTGGAGCAATTTCTTTTTAGTATATTACGAAGTAATGTTTAGAACTGACTAATACTGTTTTTTAATTTGCTTACTTTCCAGTATCCTCTTTGTTATCAGGACTATCTATTTATGTCACATTAAAATATGTGTTTTTTATTGTTTATATTATAATATATCTTCTTTTCTCCTCAGATATATATTACTCCGGATTGCTTAGGCAGAAAAAACGTTTATGCAGAAAGGCATCATTGGCAAAAAAAGTAAACATTTTTAGTCCTATTTATAGAATGAGAGTACTACCTGTTCTCTCACCTTCATTCTTTGGGTAGGGATAAATTTCAAAAAAGAGAATTATGTTATTGTGAACAGTGAAGTGAAGTGAACCATAAATCAAGTTCAACTAATGTTGTAGTAAGTAATTACCTGTAGAATTCATCAAAAACAATAAAAGACTAATACCCATTCAAAAATTTGAAATCAATTTTTTTTTTTGCAGGGTGAAAAATGGCAGTAACATCATCTACCACTCTATCATTTGGTTTAACCACATCTATTAGGCCCAAGAATGGTCTAGTCTCACAATCTAAAGCCCTAAATCTGAAGCTGAACTCTACTAAGGTCTGTTTTAGGAGTTTTGTTGGACTCAAGGCAGCAGACTCATCATCTACAATAAGCTGTGAGTCATCATCATCATTTTTTGGAAGTGAAAGCATCACAGCTCTTCTACGCAAACCCTCCTTCACTGCGAAGGCCCAAACAGAAAGGAGAATCTCCGTTCAACAGCCCCAGGCATCATACCGAGTGGCCATTCTCGGGGCAGCAGGCGGCATAGGTCAACCACTAGCCCTTCTTGTCAAGATGTCTCCACTAGTCTCAGATTTACACCTTTATGACATAGCAAACGTCAAAGGGGTGGCGGCAGACATCAGCCACTGCAACACTCCTTCACGTGTGTCGGATTTCACGGGACCATCTGAATTAGGAAACTGTCTCAAAGACGTTGACGTGGTCGTCATACCCGCTGGTGTTCCGAGGAAGCCGGGGATGACACGTGATGACCTGTTCAACATAAATGCAAACATTGTGAAGACGTTGGTCGAGGCTGTAGCTGATCACTGCCCTGGCGCCTTCATCCACATCATCAGCAACCCAGTCAACTCGACAGTCCCGATCGCAGCAGAGGTTCTGAAGCAAAAGGGGGTTTATAATCCCAAGAAGCTGTTTGGTGTCACAACTCTTGATGTTGTAAGGGCAAACACTTTTGTCGCTCAAAAGAAAAACCTCAGGCTCATTGATGTTGATGTCCCGGTCATCGGGGGTCACGCTGGGATTACGATTTTGCCCCTCTTGTCGAAAACAAAGCCGTCCGCTTTATTTTCTGACGAGGAGGTTGGTGAGTTGACTGTGAGGATCCAGAACGCGGGGACAGAAGTTGTCGAGGCAAAGGCAGGGGCAGGGTCCGCCACACTTTCTATGGCCTACGCTGCTGCAAGGTTCGTGGAATCTTCGCTGCGTGCTCTTGACGGGGATAGTGATGTATACGAGTGTGCTTTTGTGCAGTCTGATCTCACAGAGCTTCCATTTTTTGCATCAAGGGTCAAATTGGGAAAGGATGGTGTTGAGGCATTGGTCCCGTCTGATCTTCAAGGACTGACGGAGTATGAGGAGAAGGCCTTGGAAGCCCTAAAGCCTGAGTTGAAGGCCAGTATCGAGAAGGGGATCAAGTTTGCTCAGAAATAACCACTTGCTGCTTAGAATATTATGCTATTTATTATTGCCTTACTGGCCAAACATATACAATTATTTTTTGGGAGTGCATTGGGACACAGTTTTGCAGACAAGGTGAGGTTAATGTCTTGCCTTTCCCCCTTTTTGATGTTTGGTGGATAATAATACATTTTCATGTAATCATTAGTGTGCCAAACTGTTGAAACATTCTCCTGTTTGTTGTATGTTTTTTTCTTTTTGAAGGCTCACTTGGTCAGCACCACTTTTGTATGAGACCATCCATCCTATGAAATAAGAAGTGTGTCATTTTTTTTCTGTTTTATAGACTTCAACTTACTTTCTTTTTATAAACTACAGCAAATCAACCGATGGCTTATTTTGTTATCGTGGGCTGTTATTATTATGGAGTACATTTCTTTTGTAAATAATTATTATAATTATTTTTAACTAATTTAAGCCTATTATAACTTAATCTATCTTTTGTTTGTCCCCATAAACTCATTACTTTTTCCTTTGGTTCAAGTCTTCAGTATGATCTCAACCGGTGAGGTGACTATGAAAATGTCTTGATTTGGCTCATTAAGGGAGTGTTTGCAACTGCTTAAAAAAAGCACTTCTCAGCTTTTGACTTTAAAAAGCACTTATTTACCAAACACTACCAATTTTTACTTTTTCTCGGCTTGCGTCAGTTGCGTGTGACAAGTGCTTTTCTCTTTTCTATTACACAAAAAACACTTATTTTACCAAACACTACCAACTTTTACTTTTCAAAATCACTTTTTTCTCAAACACTATCAACTTTTACTACTAATCATTTTTTCCTTACATCTCCAAAAGTGTTTTTTTTTTAAGAGAAGCAGTTGCAAACACTCCCTAAGTATTTTTGTAGTTGAGGTGTTGTGATATGTGGGTGGCAAGTTGAGGCTGAAACTTTTCTAAAATGGGTTAATGGGCTAAATAAGTTCTTTTATTGTTTTAAACCCCCCATTGAAGCCTTTTTGATGGCAAAAAAAACTTAAACACATTTACTCTTAAAAAAGAGTTGCTTGGGCCAACTAACCAGACAAACCCTTCTCTATACCTGGTCACATGTTGACATGGATGTTTAACTCTCTTTTTTTTTTCTTAATTTTTTTGTCTTCTGCTTTTTATAAAGTTGGACGGATGGGATTGAGTTGCATATACGGATGTAAGTGAAAGGCAAGGTAAGGAATAGGAAGTTAGGAACGATGGCCCTTTGATTTGTACAGATCAGATCTAGAAGACTAGAACATGTAAATGTATATTTGTGTACATTCAATCAATGAATTACTACACTGATCATGACCCATGAATTATATGGTACATTTCCATCTACCCATGCATCATCTTTATTTCATCATATTTGGTCTGATCTTGCTGCTGCCCCAACCTAGCTATAAGATCATCATAATCCGGTAGCTTTGGATGGATGTGTGCATTTGGATTCCAACAAGTGTCAATATTATATGAAGCCGCTCTAAGATGACCACCTTTTGGTGTAGTTTCACCTCCAGCACTCGAACCAAAATCTATCGATCTTCGCTTTGGCAACACTTTGCTGCACCCACATTCTTCATCTTGTTTATCTGAAGCACCCTTCTTCTTGCTGTAATGCTCCAGCAATTTGTCCAGCTTTTTCTCTTCATGGTCACCATTCGCTGCCTCTCTTACCTTTCTAACTGATTTGGGCTTCACTCTCTCCTCTTTGTCAACCCTATCATTTTCAGCATTATCCAAAGTGCCATTCTTTTTAGGTTCATGTGGTTTAGTGTATGGAGGAGGGACTGACTTGTAATGCAAGGGAACCTTCAAATGAGCAGATTCGTTTTCTTTATTCCTATCATTAGCTGAAAGAGAAGTCTGTGTATTGTATTTGTTTGATTCATCATCTTCCCTTTTCTCCAATTTTACATCATAAGTTGCTGGTGGCGGTGTGTATAGCTTTTGTTCCAAAGCCTTTGAGTTCCATTCTATGTCCCACTCTGATGCTATGTCTTGAAGTAACTGAAGCTTCATGTCCTTGCATGGTATCTCTCCCTTCAGCTTTTCAACAAACTAAATACCCAAAAAGAAAACATTTATATATAGAGGCTCATGTCATTAATTCTTTAACAGTAAAATAGATTGATTAATGTTGAATTAAAACTACCTCTTTATTGACGAAAAAATCAATGGATTTCCCATATCTATCGGTGAATATGGTTCTGAGATCACGCAATTCTGGCAAGTCAGCAAACCTTGCTGCTGCAAACATCAAAGTTGATACAGCTTCCTTGCAATCTTCAGGGCACTCTCTGAAAATTTATGTTTATATTCATACACACATACATTATTATTTGCTTCAACATATTATAACGAAAATATATAGCAGTGCTTTTTGTATAATTCAGAGAGATCAATCAATTAACCATTTTTGCCACAAATTTAGCAAATACAGCAGGTTAAGTAGTTTCAGCTAAATTTAGCATTAACCAACAGGCCAGCTGTAAAACTTAAAACCTCTTGAAACGGATCGGTACAAAATTGGCAATGAATTGCTTAGCAACAGAGGTATAAAATGAATGACATTGTTTCCAAATATGCCTAAAGATATGATAGAAAGCACACATGTGTATATAAGACGATTGGTCATAACAGCTACTCATAACGAAACATTTTATATACCCTTCTTTATTCATGACTGAAAGATTGCCAGAGATCTGCTGACAATACTGCTCCAATAAATCATAACACCTTGATAGATTAAGTTCAACCAGAAGTCCTTCAGCCTGTTTCAATAGTATCATACACAAATGTAATTAGATGCTAATTAAATCCAGTCCTTTATAAAATAAAAATAAAAAACAGATCCCCAGATGCTATATATATATGGAGCTATCAACTTGATGAAAAGATAAAAATTGAAAGAAATGACCACAATAAAAGAAGAAAAGCATATTAAAAACATGCAGTATCATCAGATTGCAAATTTCAATGGAAAGAGGAAACGAAACAGAGAACAGATTCAAACGGAAGCGAGACCGGAAAAGCAAATACCCTTCCATATGCGTTGACATCTAAGCCCTTCATCAGAAGGTCGGCAATATCATTCTTGAAATACTTCTGCATTGCATTCCTCTTTTTCCGTATCAAATCTACCCGAGTCTTGGTCATCCTGATTCCTGTCTTGCTATAACAACAACAAACCACACAAACATCAAATTAAATCCATACAAATCAAACTAAAAAAAAAAAGAAATTTCCCCATAATGGCGTTTATAATCAGCCATTCTTACCATTTGGAATAGAACTTCCCCTTCAGCCAGGCGTCTAACATTTTTTGTTACTTTCTCGGATAACCTAAAGCGCAATAATATTTTACACGAGCGAAGGAATTAATACTCAGAGTTACACTGTTACAGAGATACTAGAATTGCGCGATAGGAAAATGCAGCCTAGCAACGAAAAGGATCAGCCGAATTTGCGACCTCTCCACGAAAGAAAAGAAAGGAACCTTATATACGGCCTGTAGGAATTGACGAAGAAGAAACCGCGAGTTTGAGCTGTGATCGAAAAGCTTCAACCAACTTCTGGAAGAAATTTGAAGCCAGAGAGAAAGAGAGTTGGAGTGAATGAATGGAGTTGTGGAGCTCTAGCTAGCTGGCGGAGAAGCGGCAATGGAATGTGTCCGATCGCCGCAGCTGAGCACCGTATATTTATGGAGGAGAAGAGAGCGAGAGAGAAGCGGAATGGAAATTTCAACAGAGAATCTTTGTGAAGAGGGGGAGAGAGAGAGAAAGAGGCGCGAGTGGGAGGGAGAGAAAGACGAGAGAGAAAGCAGGGCTCTCCGCCACGTCAGCGCCCCACTTCCTTCCTGCACTAATTCACCACAACTGTCTTTCCGTGAATTCCCGAGGATACCCTCGTGATTTGGGACGGTGGGGTAATTTAAGCGGGAGGGGGAGGGCAGAAAGAGAGAAGACCCGCTTAATTAGGTTCCTTATGGAGCACGATTGCGAAGTTGGCGGAGACGGGACGAGAAGCCGGCGAGCTGTTTGTTGGGATTATTTGCACACTTTCTGTCTTAATCATTATTATTAGTACCTTTTCTGCACTATGCTAATCACCATGCGACTAGGAAGCACGGAAACTCTTCATGGCTCACGCTTCCACGTTTCGGATACTTGGAAGCGTTTCGGAAACTCGGAAACTTCAAATTATAAATATATCCTTATATTTTATAATATTTACGTGTTTCCCCCACGTTTCGTGTCCTATATTTTTTAGAAATTACGTTTCTCGCGTTTCCCGTTTCCCATTTCACGTTTCCCGTTTCCCGTTTCCGTGCTACTTAGCCATGCGATTGACATCGTTTTGAAAAAAACAAGGCATTTCAATCAACACAAACCTAAATACATGATAATTTTATAGCCGTTTTGATATCTTTTTACCCACTCTTATACCCACATTTGTACCCACCTATGTTTGTGAAGGTTTCTTTTTGTCTGTGGATGCCGGCTCACAGACAATATTTAGCACCATGGTCATATATCATTTCTTTAAGGGAGAATTTGAGTTTGCACCCCACTTTTTGGGTGATATTGGACTTTGCACCCCAATTTGAAAAAACTTTGATTTTGCACCCTAGCACATATCACTTTGTGAAGAAAATTTTCTAAATGGAGTGCAAAGTCAAAGGATTTTTAAGTGGAATGGGGTGCAAAGTCAAAGTTTTTTCAAAATGGGGTGCAAAGCCCAATATTATCCAAAAAATGGGGTGCAAAGTCAAATCCCCCCTTTCTTTAAAAATGTTAGTTTTTGTTGTTAATTTCATAAATTAAAATATATTAGCATTCATGAAGATACAATAGATATTCTAAACTTCCATTATAAAATAAATAATACTACCCCACTCTATATAATTGCATCATTTTTAATTTAATTTTCTATTTTAAATCATGCAGTTAACATCATAAATTACATTTTTGAAAATAATAATAATATATGACCATGGTGCTAAAATAACTTTTATATAAAGTTTGGGTATTTAAATTACATATGAAAGTTTAAGGTGTTTATCTCAAACTTCTTCAAAGTTTGATTGTTAATTTTCCCTTATTTTATTGTTAATTTTGTGTTTGTGTGGGTAAGATTAAGGATAGTTTAAACACAATCTCAACAATTTGAGCATATTTTTGGCGTTTTCTGCCTTTACAAACAAGCTCTACAAATGCCAAGCGTTGAGAGGGAATAATGTTTGAGAGGGAATAGACTTTAAAGGCTATTCCGCGCAAAACGCTCAGGACGAACAACTATTTATCAAATGACGTTTTCACTATTGAAAACGCTAAAAGAATTAAATTGTCATTTTTGACTGAAACACCATTTCCCAAACACCCTATGGAATCAGGACTATATTGAGCATATTAACAAAACACGTGTTTTCTTTGTGTCATGATTCAATAAGGTATTTTGTTATTTAAGCCCAACATACGAATTATACATGGACACACATGTTGCAATTTTTGCTATTTGAAAAGGTTGTCATAATTCTGCTATTTGACTCTAAATTTGAAATAATCGAATTAAACGCATGAGTTCACATAAAAAGTATATCAAAATTTGAGACTTTACATCTGAATATGAATTCTGATAGGATCGGGCATGATATATTTTTCTAATTAATTGGATACAAAACTAGAGTTGTAAAATGCAGGGCCGATCTTCACAAGAGTTTTGAGGCATTTCGATCATCTTCTCTTTAACGTTTTAGTGATCAAATCCTTTTCATTTTTCATCCCTAAAAAACACTTTTTTAAATTTTCCTATTATTGAGCTCAACTCATTACTCCGTATTAACTTATTCACTTTTGAATTAACGTAAATTCAAACTTCTCATGAATCTACCATTAGTAAAATGTGGCCCTGATCTAAGTTGCATATATAAGAGGTGTCTGGATTTTTTTTTTTTGTATTATAAAACTTCAATATTTTCTTTCACTCCTTCAGAGAGTAGAAATAGATGTTGAAGTGTCCGAATGAAATTACAGATGTACTTCTAAGTGCTCTGATTTACTTTTAATACAATTCTTTAAAAGTTGGAGGACAATTTATAAAAAATTAAATATGATATACTTTTACTTTTTAAAAAAGAAGTAAAAACAGAATTATCGACTCCAATCACCCAAATATGAAATATGCACCCCAAAGGCCCAAAGTCCCAAACCAATCGTATTAAAAGTTGTTGCCATGCAATTCTACTTATACTTTTCTTTGAAGGAACTTATACTTTTTGTTTAATTACTTATTTATGGTAACTATAATAAATTAATTTAACAAACTTAAATGTATTGAAAAAATTCATTGGAAGCAATGAATAATAAATACTCCGTATAATAAAAGTACTCCGTAGCTACAATGTTGAAATGGTGCCCTCTTTTTTCGGTGACAAAAAAGTATACAAAATAGAGCTTTGTTGTTACCTGTATTAATTGATTGCAAAGTCTTACTATTTTGCTATTTTTGTCACATTTAAACCATAGAATAATTGCTATTGCTCCGTACATTTGTAGGAATCCCACAACAGATTAAACTCTTACTTTATGAGCCATTATTAAGGTTGTTGTTTTGGGGGATGGATTAAGGGCATCCCCATCCTTTAGATTATTTAGAGTTTAATTGGATGATGTGTAAGATTATTTTAAAGATTATCATTGTGAGTGAGAGATTATTTAGAGAGATTATTGAAAAAGATAATCCGGTATCAAGATTTGAATCCCGGATTATTTTAAATTGTAGTTAAATTTCATTTAATGCATTGTCTAGAAAAACTAATTATTTGAATATCATGGTTGATGGAGAGTTTTAAGATTTGAGATTATTTAAAAGTTATTTAATAAATGTGACGTGTCAATGATGTGTCATAAAAAACCATTTATTTTAAGATCATGAATGGAGATGCTCTTAACAATATGGAGGGAGAACCAGAAAAACACGTAACGCGAATAGGCAATAGGTGGATGGATATATGCTAATTACTTGGCTTACTTTCTTTCTTTTGGTTTGCTTCCATGCGCCACTCGATCGACAGCTCATTACAACATTCATTCAAGACAAGAAAACTCTTTTAGATTGAAATTTCCTGATTTGATCTAGTCTGGTCTGGTAAACGTCTGGTCTCTATTTATTTTATAACTATGAAAGTCAGGTCAGGTCTGGTCTGATCTGTTTAAGTCTAGTCTGGTCTGGTTTGGAACTGAAAACAGTCCAAAAAAACATCCTTAGTATGAACCAACTCAGCACAAACCGGACATCTCAAGCTCCAGCTCGATTGATAATAGTGGCCAGTGCACAAATACATTTGATCTCCGTACTTTACGAGGTTATATATTCAATTCAGATCGAGATCAAAGAAAATTGTATGGACTCATAAGGCGTCGAAAATTGTGTGGACTGACTTCTGTTTCATAACAAAGAAACACAGACAGTTTAGTTTAATATTTATTTTGCTTTATATCATCATATTCCCCGACAAAAAGTTAAATATTGTGGAGGTAGTGGCCCATTTAGGCTTAGGCAGCCCACTTCCCTTGTGTTGGGCCCGTTTGCTGCGTCCTTAGCCCCGGCCCATGTCATAAAGAGCAAGTTTAGAGAGAGAGACCGTTCAAACAATCATGGGCGGATCTATGTTGGGGCAGGGGTGGGCTTCAGCCCAGCCCAGCCCAATTTATTTTTATTATTATATGTATAGGTTTAATTTCTAGCCCACCTCAAAACTAATGTCTAGCCCAGCCCAAGCCTATCAACTTTGTAATTCCATTTGAGTATTAATTGAATTTTTTCAGTAGATAGTAAAATAGTTTTTATTTATTATTATAAATTTATAATGATTAAAGATAGAATTAAAGATTAGAAAATGATCTATTTATAATGCAATTAAAGAATAGAGAACGATGTATTTACTGTTTAGGCATGTAAGAATGGATTCAAAATCTCAATTCAATTTTAAAATTGGGAATTCTTATTAGTTTTATGTACATCGACTATTTTTACTTATTAGTTTTATACTTTTATAGAAGTATTTTAATTCATATCAATAAATACTAAAATCTTTAATAATCAATAATAAAATTATAAATCACACTAAAAACGTTTAAATTTTAGATATGCTACCTCTATCTCATTTTATTTAGCCATATTTGACTCTTTACTCAAAGATGGTAAACTTTGATCCATCATTTTAACTCATGTATTAATGTGAAACTTACTAAATTTATACTTTTATGATAAACTTTTTAACAAAGAACATTTCCGTTTCATTTTCATATTATCAATTTTATTGTATAAATATATAGTCATTCAGTGTTTAACTTCTTTGACTTGAAAAGTCAAATTAGTCTTAATAAAGGTCGGAGGTAGTATATAGTTTATTTCTATAATTTGTAAGTTATGAATATGCTCGAGTCCAGATCGAACTGAACATGACTATGCTCGAATACAGCTTGAATAACTATTCAAACTCAAAAAAACAACGACCGCTTTTTTTGTAAAAACAAACTATTTAAACTAAAATTTAGCCCGTGTTCGAGATTGAAGCTCATTAATTAAGCTTTGGTCATTAAATTAAATTCGAAATCACGATCGAACTCGAGTTGTTCGAAAAAAACTCAGTTCAATAACTATCAGTCCTAAGGTAAACCTTTTGTATGCAATAACGATAATTTTTACTACTTAGCCCACCCCACCCCTCATTCCTGGATCCGCCCCTGCAAACAATGCTCTCTTCTCC